CGCTCACAGTAACACGTGGCCTAACACGTCCGCTAACCCTAAACCATTATCGTGCCCTAACCTGTAGGGGGGGGGGGGGGGGGGGGGGGGGGCTAGACCCGTGACAACGCGACCAAGGCCGTCCCAGCCCCACGGCACCTCATGGAACCTCCCCCGGCACCCACCAAACCAAGCCTCGGGTTTCCTCGGTTCTCGCGCTGCCTCTGAGAACCCTGCAGATGCCGATGCCGAGGGCAGGGCAGGGCTGGGCTCCTACCCCGTTTCCCCGCCCCTCCCCAGGCAGGGCCCACCCAGGCCGTGGAGCGGGGTGCTGGTGGGCTCACCATGCTTGGCGTTCTGAGCAGTGCGCCGTCGCAGGCTGTGCTCCAGCAGCTGGTGGGTACGGGTGGGGCTGGCCCCCGCCATCAGACGCACGGTGGCTTCATGCAGGAACACCTGGGAGGTGCAGGGGGACACAAGCCGGGGGTCCTCTCACCTGTCTGTGCCCCAGTAGGTCTCTCCCTGCAGCATCTCATCTGCCACCCGAAGGCACCCCTTCTCCTCTCCACAACACCCTGCCCTGCTCACCCCTTGAAAGCAACCTCTCTCGTCCTCACTCTGACCCCCGACACAAGCCAGGCAGGAAAGGGGAACACAGCACAGGCCACCTGGTGGGGCAGGAGCAAGGCGGCCAGCTGAGAAAGAGGCCAAGGGCTGCCTTCTCTACCGCTGACCCAGAGTGCCAAGGCGCCCTCTGGGGTTGGAGGACAAGTAGCCTGGGGGGACCCACACTTCGCTGGAGGCTGCCTCCAGCTGGAAAACAGGACAGAGGTGAGGCAGGGACAGGAGCGGGGCAGGGGGACGGCTGCGCTGGCACCAAGGAGGTTCAGGGTCCTGTTGCCTCCTGTTTCTTCAGAAAGGAACAGAGTCCAGAGGTTTCCAGGTTAAAGTCTGCAGCTCTTCTGTAAATACGAGTCACTGGGGATGGCGGGGCCAGGCCTAGGTCTCTAATTTCTTAACATCTCAGTGTGTGAGGAGCGCTGCCCTGGAAGGCACCGGGGGAGGCGGTAAAGGGCTTCCGCAGGTGGCAGTCTTTTCTGAGGAGGCCTTTGATGGGGGCCACGGTGCCTGGGGCACACTTCCTCTTCTCCACGGAGAGGGGGGCGGCTCTCACATGACTGTACTCCATGTGCCGTGTCTGTCCTGGCTCGCTGCACACAGGGGCCACAGCGTAACCCTGGGAGGGCCCCATAGCACCCTAGGGTGGGGGCAGCCTCACCCTGAGCCCTTCTTTTTCGCACCCTTCCCTCCCCACACTTCTGGCCTTCTCGCTTGAATTTCTGGAAAATCATTCAGGCAGCGAGAACATGCTGAGTATATTACCCTAATTAGCAATAAAAATAAACCAAACAATGAAATGATTTGCGTCCAGTAAGCCCAGTTACACATCTGCCCTCAGAGCTTATCTCAGACCGTGTAGCCATCGCCAAGGGGATGTTACGTGGGGCGTTGGGCAGCAGAACCAAAGCCCCCAGTGGCTCAGAAAAAGAATGAAAGGCATGTCTAGGGGCATTCTGCTGCTCTGACACCAATTATGAAAGCCAGAGTAGAGAGCTTCCTCGTGGCCTTCCCGCCCCTCTCCGCTCAGGCTGGGAGCCCCTTCTTGCTCCCACTGCCCCCAGAGCCCCCCATTCCCAAGTTTAACTGGTGAGGCACAATCTGTGTTGTCCTCTGTCTGCGGCCGTGTGGCCTGCTCACCACCACGCTCCAGGGCTGGGCACACAGCAAGTACTCCACCAACATGAGCCAAACAAAGGGATACATGGCACCCATCCCAGTGCCTGATAGGCTCAGCTGACCTCAGGAGACCGACTCCACGACCCCAGGCCAGTGCTGTGCTGGGTTCTGCCCTCTCCCAGCAGCAGGCCGGGCCTCACCTTGCGGTAGGCCGGGCGGAAGCTATGTGCCAGCCTGCGCAGGCTGCCCAGGTCCCGCTGGAAGCCAGCCAGCTCAGCGCCCGACGCGTGGTAGGTCTCACCCAGGGCCTGGCTGGCTCCTGCTTGTTTCTGCCAGAGTGCTGTCCGCAGCGACAGGAGCAGGTCACAGGTCAGCAGCTGGACCACCTGCAGGGTAGGCCACGAGGGAGGATACAGGTGACTGGCCGATTCCTGGGGCAAGGATCCCAGCACCCACCAGGCCCTCCCCAGCCTGACACCCGGCAGCTCCGGGACGAAGGGAGGAGCCCCAGATGGGGGAGCCTGGAAAACACCCCACAGGGAGCAAGAGAACAGCTGGAGAGTGAACTTAAGCTCATGGTATCTAGTCCTTTCCACGGCCCCAGGTGGTAGATCTGTCCTCCCATCTTGCGGGTGAGGAAGCCAAGGCTCAGAGAGAGGCTGCAGGCTCGGGTAGGGGACACAAGGGGCGAGGACACGGGTCTGATAGGAAGTCGCAGGTCCCTCCCACCTCACAGGAGCCCTCCCATGGCTGGCCAGGAGGCTGAGATACTCAAAAGGTGCCTCGGCCCCATCCTTCCAGTGGAATCCAAAAGCCTGAAGTGGCAGCACAGCCTGGAGGTGGAGGACCAGGGAGAAGAGGCTCGTAGGGGACACAAGTGGCGAGGACACGGGTCTGATAGGAAGTCGCAGGTCCCTCCCACCTCACAGGAGCCCTCCCATGGCTGGCCAGGAGGCTGAGATACTCAAAAGGTGCCTCGGCCCCATCCTTCCAGTGGAATCCAAAAGCCTGAAGTGGCAGCACAGCCTGGAGGTGGAGGACCAGGGAGAAGAGGCTCGCTTCAGCAGAGGGCAACCAAGGCCCAGCCCAAGTGGCCTCTGGAGTCAGGGAGACAGGAGCCCAACAAGGCAGAGCCGCAGAGCAGCTGAATGCTCGGGTTTGGATCCACTGACCCAGATCTACCCTGACATATGACCAAACCTCTCTGAGCCTCAGTTTCCTCACCCACAAAACGGGCACCTCAGGGCTGCAGTGAGCGTCACATGAGAGAATGCGTGGAGGGACCATGCCCGGCCTCAGAAGCACTGGCCTCAGCCCACACTGGTGCCATTAAGCACAGATGCCGCCAGGCACCAACAAGGCCAGGCCACCTGCCTTGCTCCAGAGGGCCCTCAGCACCAGGGAGCAGCACTTCTCGAGATGGGTCACATGCGGCCCTCAGGCTCTGATGGACTCCCCCAGGCCATTCCTCATCTTGTCTAGCCTGGCTTTCCCCTTCTCCAGGGTGCTGGACCTGGGGCGCTCACCGTGCTGCCCCAGACCTGGACCCTGCCTTGAACCTGCACGTTGGCTGACCCTCAGCCACCGTGTTTTTTGGCTGCTGACAGCTTTGCGGGGGGACACGGATGAGGTCTCTCTCCTCAAACAAAGGTGGCACTTCTAAGAGGTGGGGTAGCAGCCTGGGGCTGAATTCTGCCCCCGAGGGAGGCCAGCTTCTGTGGAGTTCCCTTCTTCTAGGCCCATTCTCTCACACAGGAACCCCAATCCCAAGGGTGCCCGCAGCCTCTCTCTCCTTCCCCAAACTAAGCTGAGACAGTCTAGTTCTCTCGTGAAGACAAACAGTACTGGACACCAGCAGAGGAATCGCACAAAGCGAGCTGTGGCTCCCCCTCGAGCCTTTGGTCTTGGGCCCTGTCGGCACACTGCCTGTCCTATAGGGCTGCCTGCTGTCCTGGGTTCACCCCAGGGTCCGGGGCCACTGATGACCTCTAGCCAGAAGTGCCAGACCAAACCCTAGTGAGGGTCTCAGAGCCGGACCCTCCAGGACACACCTCCTGTCTCCCTTTCTGGAGTGAAACCACGCTTCTCCCTGTGAACAGATGATGCTTCACCTTCAGCTGAGTGCACGCCTCCCCTCCCCTCTCCCGGATGGCCCTGCCTTGTGACCCAACAGCGAGAGCAGAGCCCTCTGACAAGGCCTGGCTGGAAGTGTCTCGAGGGCTGGGCAGGCCTCTGTGATGCACTGTGGAAACATTGCATGGGTACCGCCAGAACATGCAATGCAACTACAATGCACCACAGCTGCCCGCTCGAGGGTGTGCAGCCAGCCACGGGGTTGCCCAGGACGCTCAGCTGGCTCAGGATGTGCATGTGAGGGGGCGGGGGCCCGTGGGGGCCTGGGGAGTCGGGCAAGCTGCCTGGAGCAAATGCAGAGCCCTGGCCAGCTGAGGTTCGCCTGGGGCTGACCAAGCTGAGGGCCCGCAGGACCCAGGACTCAGGTGGGAACATGCTTGTCCAAGTACTGAAAGGAAACCCACCTGGACCCACAGGCTACGCTCTGGGGAAGGGGGCTGCTTGCCTGGTCTGTCTTTTGCACAGCCCCATGGGCTGGGTGGGCTCAAGGCGGGTCAGAGCGCTCTTACCCAGCAGAGCTGAGCACCTCCCCGAGGGGCCAGAGAAACCCCCACTCACATGGCTGAGGGCTGGGTCGCAGGCGGCCCCACTGACGTTGAGGCTGCTCCACAGGTGGCCACTGGCCCTCTCGCAGTGGCAGAAGGAACTCTGCTGCCCGTCCGCCTTCCCGGAGAGTGAGGCGTGCATAGCTCTGCAGGTGTGGAAGACGGCCTTCACCAGGGGGCTCCTGGGCGGTAAGAGAGGCAAGAGGCAGGAGGTCAGTGCACGTCGCCTGTGGAGAATGAAGGGGGAGCCCAAGCCGGAGACGACTGCCCCCTCGCTGCTGTGACACGTGGGTCTGTCTGTTAAACCAAATGCTGCCATAATGGTTCCAGATCCCCAGCTCCAGATCGGAAATGCCAGCCCTGAGTGAGGGAGGCTTCCCACCCCTAAGCACCTTCCTCATTCAAGGAAGGTTGACGGCGTTCATTTCCTAGTGAAGGAGTTGGATGGTAAATGCATTAGATGCTGACTGCGTAATGCCAGGTGGTGCACGTGCCATGAAGGAAAGTCACGCAGAGGAAGGGGGTGGCAGTTTATAAAGGATAGTCAAGGACGTCCTCTCTGGAAAGGCGACACTCGCGCAGAAGGAACCTGAGGGAACTCCTGAAGGAACCGGGGAAGCAGGAGTGTGGATTTCTAGGAAGGAGGGTTCCAGGCAGAGAAGCAGCATGTGCAAAGGCCCTGAGTGTCTGACACATGTGAGAATATCCAGGAACGAGCATGGCTGGAGGAGGAAGTGAGGGGAGCAGAGGGAGAGCAAGCTCTAAACAAGGCCCTTCTCAGCCTGGCCGCGGCCCTGCCTCCCGTCTGCCTCTGACCCTGCTCCAGGCTCCAGGCAACCGGAGCTCATCTCCTCTCCCTTCCTCACTCCTTGCCTCTGCTGGCGTCGGCGCCTCTGCCTGGAATGCCCTTTCTCACCACTTCCCACTTGTCTCCTGAGACTTGTTCCACCTGCCCGGCCCTCTGGTCCGCCTTCTCCTGTCCTGCCCCCGACAAGCCTCCTCTGGCTGGCCCTCGGGTCAGGCCCCCTGGCTCCCCCAATTATGCGCCTCCTTCCCTCACCAGGCGCTGTGCGAACTCCCGGAGGCTGACCGGCCTCTGGCCTGGAACCCCTCCCAGCGATGCGCCGGCTGCTTCACGGGAGCCGAGACTGGCCTGGCACAGGCAAAGGCGACAGCTCCCACAGGAGAAGGCGCCGAGCAGGACGGCCACTGTCTATTCGCTTACGGCTATAACTTGCTGTGCTGTTCACTGCCGCCTCCCAGAGCCTAGAACGTAGCCGACACCGAGTACGCCCTCAGCTAAGTATTCGCGGAAGGAAGAACAGAATCATGGAAGGGGTACAGGAGACCCCAGAATGCGGCTCGTGGCCGACAGGAAGGGATCAGAGACGCAGGCTCAACCACCAGGGCTGCCACTAAGAAGCTGCCTAAGATGGTCATTCAAATAATCTGTGCCTCAGTTTCCTCATCTGTAAAGTAGCCACAATACCACTCGCTGCTACCTGTGGTGACGTACAGTACTGGTCCCATTATCTGCACCTGTTCTCTAATGGCCATTGCCCCAGAAGCCAGGTGTTCAACTCTTTGGAGAAACTTAGCCTCGTTTCATAGAGCAGGTCAGGGAGACAGTGGGGAGGCTGGGATTGGGGGAGGGGTCCCACAGCATCATTATCCCTAAAGAGCAAAGGGACCCCGGAGTGACTGAGTTCGGGGGAAGGAACGCCTGCTGTGGGTCTTAGCTGCACACTGGGGCTCTGTTCTTAGAAGTGAGGTGACTTTAGATGATTTACCCGCCGAGCCTCAGTCTCCTCAGGTGCGTTGGCTGGGAGAAAACACACACAGGGTGGGTGCTCACTGGTCAGGATGCTTAAAAATGGGTTACTTAAATGAAATTGGAGTGTCAGAACCTGCCTCAACCTGCTTTTCTCAGCTCCCTCCCGCTCTCCTGGTTAAGCATCTGCTCAGCCTTGGCTCTGAGGAAAGACCCAGTGAGGCCTTTCTGTCTTGGAGCATTTTACAATTTCTCTCGAATGGCAGAAGATGTCAGGGACACTCAGATCCAGTCAGAAGCAGCCAGGATATCGGCAGGCTGCTCGTCACTACGGGCCAAATGCCCCCGAGAAGCAGGCATAAGTCCCCCAGAGGACTGTCAAAAGCTCTCCGGTGATGCCTTGTACTAAAGGCCTTTTTAATGATAGCGCCGGTGGCGGGGTGGAGGGCGGCGGAGAGGAAACTGGATGCAGTGCTGGCACGTGAGAGAAGGATCCTCAGGCCCTCACAAGCCGGTGCTGGCTGTAAGCCAACAGCACCCTGCCTGGCTCCACCGGGAGCTTCTGAAGATGCTGGGGGCTGCCGGCTCTCCCCGCCCGTCAGCCTGTGCAAGGAGGCCCGGAAGCAGCGCTGTCTGCTGCTGGGGTGACACACACGGACAGACGTGCTCACCACGTTTGGTTTTTCCATGGTGCCCTCACCCCCTCACTTCATCTCTCCATCTGTCATGTAGTCCCCAGGCTGCCTGACCCTTCACCCAGATGGCCACCCAGACCTGCTCCCTCCCACTAACCCAGTGAGGCTGGCACAGCTGGCGCTGGGGACTCCCCTGGAGAGAAGCAAGCAAGTGGTCAAGGGGGGCTACGCACTCTGTCACTTCCAGGGCCTTGGGAACACGCTCCACTTCGGTAAAGTGAGCGCGCACAGCTGTGTCGTCTCCCTGGAGCCAGCTGATGGCCATGGTGATCGCGGACGTCCACCACCGACAGACAACGTCTGGACCTAGAGGTGAACAGAACCAAACGCTGCTCCAGCACCCACAGAAACCAGAGCCTGCTGGCTGCACCTGGTTCCCATCGTTCGTGCCATCTCTCCCTCCCGGCAATGGGCTGGGGCCTGTGGGCTGCCCTCTCACACGATTCTGGTGGGAGCACCAACCAGCACCATCTCAGAACACATTTGGCAATCTGTATTGACAGCCTTAAAAACGTTCACTCCCATTAACCTAGTAATCCCATTTTTTTGGCAATCCATCACAAAGAAATTGGCCTAGAGAAAAAAGCCTCCATGAAGATGTTCACTGTGGTGTTATTTTTAAGTAAAAAGCTGGAAACAACCTAAACTTCCAACAGTTGTGAAAAGTGGTGTTTCCAAAGTATTTGTAGTAACAGGCTCAGGTTAGAATCTTTTTAGTGTTTTCCTCTCTGAGGCTAAGTTTTCTCAGTGGACCTGTACAATGAAAGGCCCAAGAACATGTTCTTTTCTAAACTCTGAAATAAAGACAGGCCACGAGGTCAGTGGTCACGATGGGGCGGCCGCTTCTCTGGGATCCTTCTCTCTCTAGGGAGAGCGGCCAGAAGGGAGCTCCACATCGCTGTCCCCAGCAGCCTCAGAAGCACAAGAGGTGACCGCTCGTGTGCCATCACCCAGATGGCAGTTTAGAGACAGAAGCAAAGAATGTCCTGGTGACAACTCAGTCGGTGGTTGTGCTGTGCCACCCAAGGCCACGGGTACTGTAGCAATATAGATGCCCGGATGAAAGGCCTCTTTGGCAGAGTGTCAGACCCAAGAGCAGCCCCGGGGACCACTGTGTATTGAGAGGTGAGCCCCTCCCCAGCTCCCGGTGCCAGGACCACTTGCTGCCCGTTCTGAGCGTTTGGGAGAATTCCTGACCCGCCCCACCCATCCGGGGCCCAGGGAGGGCACTGACTCACTCATCGTCACACTTCTAGGAGAATCATGATCTCCTGCCCCCAAAACGCTGTCCAGCACGGGGGAACTGTCCATGAGGGCTACATGGGAGCTTGCAGATACACACCTCAGATCCAGAGAAGATTCTCGAGTGCAGACTTATAACTAACCCTGGACCCTGGGACACAAGGGCTGTGCAGGGCTGAATCAAGCAACCTGAGGCCTGCGGAACTGCCCCACGAGATGCTTACCAAGGGCTGACTTGAGCACGCAGCTGCTGGAGAAGGGGGTGGTCACAATCCCCACAGAGTCCACAAAAGAATTAAGTAATTTCAGGTACTCCAGAGCACTGGAGAATTCACTAGAAAGAAAAGAAAGGGTCCCACACACATCAGAATGTACACAAGGATCACGCTCATGGCCTGGCTGGTCAGCCCCCAGCTCTGAGACCCACCACGCCAGGCGCCCCGAGCTCTGCCTCTCACACCACTCACACTCTCCCCAGGCTGCCCTGACATCGGTCCTGACACTCTCCCCTCTGCCGGGAGAGCCAGTTTTCTCTTGCATCCCTCGCCCTTCAAGACCTAATTCAACTGTCGTCTCTGCCCAGAAGTATTCTGACCTCCCAGGTAGGACCGCCCTCCCCTCTCCACTCAGGTGCACTCCAGTCAGGACCTGGGCCGTGAACCAGAGTGACCCTGGCCCGTCTGCCTCTCAGGTCTGACTCTGTGAAGGAAAGACTGCACTCGATAACTCTGTAAGACACTGTCTGACACGCTCAGTACAGGTCGGGGTCCCACAAGACGTCTGGGCCAGAGCGCCTTGCCTTCTGCCGAGCTCCCCACATTCCACTCCACGCCCTCCACAGGCCACCCTTCCCCTGGCAAAGAGCAAAGCAAAAGAATCAAATCCCTGACTGCTCCAAGAACTGACTCCACTTGGTGAAGGGATGGGTGAAAAGGAGCAAAAGGCGGAAAGTGATACACTTGGTCTGGCAGTAAAAGGCAAAGAGGCCAGGTTGGAGCCCGCAGGGGGCTCTCGCGGGGCTGCCAGGTTCAAGAAATAAACATGAAGGAGTCACTGGATCTCCCTCTTGACCCTACACTAGGGCTTGTTTCCTTCTAGGCCTCACAGCTGCCTCTGCGCTTCCCGGGCAGACGGCCCGAGGCAGGGGGCCCCTCCTGGGGTCAGTACCTGCTCTCCTCTTCCTGGTCTGCAGCTTTCTTCTTGGCCTGAGGTTTCACCAAGGACTCCACAGCTCGCTCCAGCAGGTTCCTGCAGAAGGCCTGGTGCACCTGGGCGATGGGGTCGGCTGAGGAAGAGGAGGCAGGCCGGGAGAAGGGGTAAGTGGGTCTCACTTACGGGCTCATTTTGCCTTACAGAGAAAATAGAGGGTGGGGAGAGGAAGCCAAGGAGCAGCTGTCCCCTGAGAATGGGGGCAAACGTCCTCAACAGACCCCAGCACTGCTTGTTAAACAGTCAGAAGGTGGGGATGGGGGCGGGGAGGGTTGGCAAGCCCAAGACTACGTGGGTCCTAGACTGGCTCCGGGGGGGGCGTGTGAGGAGTGCTGCGCCTCCTGGCGCAACGGCCAGCGCTTCCGTTCAAGGTTGGGAGCTGTGTGGCGGCCACAAGCCTTGTCAGAAGACAGGAGATGGAAAGGTGGCCAGTACACCTGTGCACGTCTCAGGGACTGCCTCTTCTCCTGTGGCTCAGGAGGACAGCCAGCAGAGGGGAACGTGGCGCCGGCTGCTGCCTGGCGGGATTAGGGAAACGCCGCTCCCGCTTACCAGAGCCTCTGCGTAAGGCCTGTGGCCAGCAATTGTCTGGCTGAGCCTATTAAACAAGAAGCCTTGCAATGCTTGTGACAGCTGACTGTCACTGACAGGCCCCCCCCAGCTGGCAGGCCCAAAGCAGGGCATCGCCAGCCTTCCCCTCACTCACACGCCACAGCCGTGTGGGTTTCAATTTGACAAGAGCAGGGAGGCAGGACACTTATGAACACATTCTGGGCGAGAAGGCCTAGAGCCAGAGCCACCAGAGGTGAGAGAGCCAGGAGCAGTCCACGGTGCAGACAAAGCAGCCTGGTGACGCAGCTGAGATTTACGATAGCGTTTGCTTTCATCCTTACTTTCTGGTGTTGCACATCACTCTTCCTTTGAGCAATAAAGTTATTAAAAAGAAACGACGGTGGAACCTCCCTCCCCCACAAAATGTTTGACACACACCCCTGTACCTGCAGGACATGTCTGACTCGCCCCAGACTCCCAGTTCAGAGAGAGGAAAAGCGCAGGAAGCAGAAAGCCACGGCTGCTCAAGTCTGAGCCAACCCGAACAGCCTCTCCTGCTCCGAGGCCGGGCGAGGGGACTCCAATCACTGTCAGACACCGGGGACAGCAAGCCAGCATCTCCTCCCGACGCCTGGAGCCCTGTCCCTGCCACCACTCTGAGCACTTGATGACCGTCTGTCGCCTGTTGTTCCCTAACTGCTCCGTCTATGTCTGTCTGCTTTCCAGGGGGAGCGGGAGATTGGGGCCAGCAAACAGCAACTCCACACATCCTCTGAGTCTCCAAAGCGCCCAGAACAAGGGCAAGATTCCAGCTGGTACTCAATCACCATTAGTAACGTGTGGCGGTGTGACTGATGTCAGGACCACGGGCTCTGCGTGTCAGAGAGAGGCGAGCTGCAAACCCAGCTTAGCTGCTGACCAGGCTCATGACCTCCCTGAGTTTAAGGAAAACACGGCTGAGGCATCCTGTGTCCCCACGTGTCTGGAGTGCAGCCACCCTACGGTACCGGTGGCTCTCATAGCTGCACAGGTGCTCTCACCTGGGCTCCTCTGGGCGCAGTACAGACTCTCCTTGGCAGCCGACTTCACGGACCAGCTCCGCTCCATGAAAAACTTCTGGCCCAGGGGGTGGCAGAGCCAGCGCAGCGAGTCGGGAACAGCGCTGCGCTCGGGGCCACACAGGCTCTGGGCGCGGCTGAGGAAATAGCTCTGTGGAAGGACAAGGACCACGGTGACAGCAGGTGGCAGAAGGCTGGCCGCGCCACCACGGTGGAGGCAGGCTGGGGGAGGGAGGCAGCAGGAGGGCTGGGGCGCTCACATGCCTGGAAGGAAATGCCCTCACTGAAGCCAGGGCCATGGCCCCGGCGGAGCCTGCGGGCTCGATGACCGCGTACAAGCCCCAGCTGGATGGGGGTGGGGCTTCAAGGCGCCCACGGGGGCCCAGCTACACCCTGTCCTGCTGGGTCTGCCTAACCCGACTCGAATCTCGTTCTGGGCTGTGCTAGCATTCAACTGCAGAGCTGAGGAGGGCTCTCCCAGGCCCCTCGCGGCACTTTAGCCCTCGGCCCCGTCAATGGCGCTGCGCCCCAGCCAGGTGGCCCTCTGGGTCCTGGGACTTTTTCTCATCTGTCATTTTAATTACATATCTTTCAGAGTATTTTTAGGCAAAACCGTATTCCGCTTTGACTAATTTTCATCTCTTTTAACTCTGAGTGTGAAGCGTTTAGAACAGGCACCCAGCAAGTGGTCAGTGACTGTTATTTACCATCACTGTCACTCTAGAAAGCACTGGAGTGAAAGGGCCGCCCTGAGACTCGTCCAGCCCCCTAAAGAGAACCCCCTGCCATCCCTGGATGAGTCCTTGACGTGGACACCGGTCCAGTGAAGAAAAGACCTGAAAGCCTCTTTGCTGGGCAATTCAAAGAACCAGAGCCCCAGTTTCCCAGGCCCCTCTTCTGCCCACAGGATAACATCACTCCAGGGCCCCAGGAATAAGAATTGTAGGGACGATGCTATCTAACCACGTTTTCAGAAATTGTGTCTTTTTTTTTTTTTTTTTTTTGGGTACGCGGGCCCCTCCCTGTTGTGGCCTCTACCGTTGCAGAGAACAGGCTCCGGACGCGCAGGCTCAGTGGCCATGGCTCACAGGCCCAGATGCTCCATGGCATGTGGGATCCTCCTGGACCGGGGCACGAACCCATGTCCCCTGCATCAGCAGGCGGACTCTCAACCACTGCGCCACCAGGGAAGCCCTCTGTTGCTCATCTATGAGTTCATTAATTCTTTGTTCTGTCAGTTCACATCTACTGTTGAGCACCTCTACTTAATTTTTCATTTCAGTTACTGTAATTTTCAACTCTAGGATTTCCATTTGGTTCTTTTTTTTTTTATAATTCCTATACATATCAATACATTCCTGTTGATACTATACCTGTGATGTGACATTGTCATCACACCTTCCTTTATTTCTTTTTTTTTGTTGAATTTTTTTTTTCTTTTTTTTTGGTACGTGGGCCTCTCACTGTTGTGGCCTCTCCCATTGTAGAACACAGGCTCCAGACATGCAGGCTCAGCAGCCATGGCTCGGAGCACAGGCTCTGGACGCGCAGGCTCAGCGGCCATGGCTCACGGGCCCAGCCACTCTGCAGCATGTGGGATCTTCCCGGACTGGGGCACGGATCCGTGTCCCGTGCATCGACAGGCGGACTCTCAACCACTGCGCCACCAGGGAAGCCCAGAAATTGTGTCATTTTTTGAGTAAGGATATCTTTATTCTAAAACCCATGTTTTCCAACCCATTAAACCCACTCGATACAGGCCAATCTGAATGAGAAGCTCAGCAGAGAAGAATGGAGGGAGAGAGAAGCGTGAGATGCAGGGAGCCCAGAGGAGGAGGGGCGGCTGGGCCGGGCAGTGGACCTCAACCTTTACACTGCAGCCCTCACCTCCACAACGAAGGTAGCCACCTCCTTGTCTGGTTCAGTCTGATGGTTCTGACCTTTACTGGGCTCTGAGCAGCCATCAGTTAATGTGATGGCCTCAGAAGACTTGAAGGCCAGGGTCAGAAACAGCCCTGCCAAAGTACCACTCAAGAAACATGGACCAAGGAGACTGGCTTTCTCGGGGGGAACCTGGAGACGGCTGCCTAAATCCAGAAGAAAAGGACCCGGCCAAACTGTTCTCTAATGTTATCACGGCACTCACAGGACCAGGTGGGGCATGTCACTTAAATCTCTAATCACAGGGCCGGCAGCACTAATGGCCTTTCCTCCTCTTTGCTGACCACCATACTTTAAAAAGGGGACTGGAGAGCAAATGTAGAGAATTCTATGACCTTCTCCTGACCCTCAACAAAGCCCTCACTGGATGTGAGCTTGTAACTGCAATGGTCGGAGAACAGCAGCTGAGGATCCTGAGGGGGACAGAGGTTGGGGGTGGTTTGGTGGTAATTCCAGGCCCTTTGAAGACTGCGAACCTTCTAACAGTTTCCCCCAGGTCTCTCCTGAGAGCACATACCTGATAAGCAAGGGAGCTTGATGGCTGCTCCAGGGGAAATCTAGGACCACTGATCCCTAAGAAGGGCCCAAGCGTCACCAACAGAAGCAGAAACAAAGCCTGGTTAGGTGATATTGCCAGAGGAACCCAGAGAAGCGATTTAGAAAATCATTCAGTTAAAATACATTTTTAAGCTTAATTCTTAGAAGAGAAAAACTTTAGTTATAACACATCTCAGCAGGAGGGGGAGCTCCAGTTTAGTGGTATGAATTAATAAGAAATATAAATCCTGGGATAGTCATCCACGGCATGGCTTCTAGAAGGGAAACTGAGAAAATAACTTCTGTTGCTCCTTTTTTTTTTTTTAATAAATTCATTTATTTATTTACGGCTGCGTTGGGTCTTCGTTGCTGTGTGTGGGCTTCCTCTCTAGTTGCGGCGAGCAGGGGCTACTCTTCGTTGTGGTGCGCAGGCTTCTTCTCATTGCGGTCACCTCTCTTGTTGCAGAGCATGGGCTCTAGGCGCACAGGCTTCAGTAGTTGTGGTGCGCGGGCTCAGTAGTTGTGGCTCATGGGCTCTAGAGCGCAGGCTCAGTAGTTGTGGCACACGGGCTTAGTTGCTCCACGGCATGTGGGATCTTCCCGGACCAGGGCTCGAACCCGTGTCCCCTGCATTGGCAGGCGGATTCTTAACCACTGCGCCACTGGGGAAGCCCACTTCTGTTGCTCTTTTAATTTTCTTGGTATTACCACCCCATGATCATTTTCCTAAATTTTACAGACACCAGAATTCACTCAAGCTGGGGCTGAGGAGCAACCTCACCGCCATAACTCATCTGCTAATTGCTGAACTGAGTGGCTGTGGCAGGAGACTCAGAACTGTTTGGATCCTGAGGGCCACCCTGTACCCCTGGGCCGGTTCCAACTCCAGGTTACGTCCTCCCACTCCAGTCCGACTCGGTGGTTCTCAAACTGTGTGCCAAGGCACCCCAAAGCACCACAGCAAACTCCACAGGGGTGCCGCTGGATATTTCACACTTTGGGGGGAAACACAGCAATGCTCAACATGAATCGGACACCATGTAAACTGCTATATGGAGGCAGTTCGGTCTCAATGTGAGACTGCATGACCGTCCTCTGGGTGGTGTCATCTTTGGGAAGCTGAGTTTTTGGAGGCTGTTATAATGAAAAGCAAGTGCAGAGTGAAAGCTGGTGTGGGACAGGAAGTGAAGGTGGTGGCGTCCAGCCTGATTTCAAAGTCTGAGAAGGCACATGCAGCAGGCACACACATCCCACTAGTAAGTATCTGTGGTTATTAAGAATAGAACTCAAACATTATTTCTTCCTTCAGTTTTGTGTATTATTTTTCCAAGTGGCCACTAAGTTGTTACGACAAATATCTATTAAGATGCTTGCACCTAATTAACCAACAGAACTGTTAGGTATTTCCTTTAGCCCAAGGAAACCATGAAAAAATTACTGAGGCACAAAGGGTGCCGCGAACCAAGAAAAAGCTTGGCAACCTCTGGTCTACACCATTTTCACGGAGGCCAGCCCTCTGCGTGGCCCCCAATGCCTGACTCATTTGCTGGCTAAATACGTTCCACCAAATTCAAAGCTTCTCCCTATTTAAGAAAGTACTAGCTGGGTCTCTCATTCCCCTTCCAAGAGAAGCAAACAGATGAGAGGGGCAGCTACTTTCCTAGAGACTGGTTCCTCTCTTCTTCCCACCTTACTGAAAATGCACACTTGGCGATACCACTGATTTCCCAAATATTGATACTCTTTGACCCAGCATCACCACCTCTAGACTTAACCTCAAGAGGTATTGTACAAGCGGGAGAGGGTACTCCCTGCAGCACTGCTTCTAACTGCAAATGCTGGAAACAACCCAAACATCTAGCAGCGGCACACTGGCTCCATCAAGGACGGTATTTACACATGCTGGAGCAGCAAGTACCTCTATGGAATAGGAGGCAACAAAGAAAGAGGCCCAAGACTTATAATCTGGTTGAAAAAAGCAAGTGGCAAAACAGCGTTTCTGATATGATCACATTAAATAAATTATAATGCACATATGTTCTGACGTGCAGGAAGAAAACTGAGGAAATGCACATTAAACTGCTCACTGCTTGTTAGGCATACTCAATATTTTGGGGGTGGGGGGACACTCATTAGGGAACCATTTTCCTGATGCTCAGCTGTTACACACATGCCTTCCTCAAATGGGCTGAGTAGCCCATTAAAGAACACCTGTGTCTTAGCAACAAAGACAATCAAAACCCCAGTGGGATTTCTGGGATGACGGGATGACCCTAAAATTTATATGGCAAGGTAAAGAGCAAACGCTAGTCACTAAAGCCGGAGGACCGACACTTCCAGATGTCAAGACGCATTCGAGGGCTTGGCCATTAGGGGTGTGCGGTGTTGGTGCAATGGAACTGACTAGAGCGTCCAGAAGGAGACTCATCACACGTGGACATTTAATTTACGCAAAAGGTGCCACTTGGTGCGGTGCGGAAAGGGCAGTCATTTTAACAACAGATCCTGGGGTTGGGAGATAATACATATGAAAAAAAAGTCGATCTTGCACCCCTACCTCCAACTCATACAAAAATCAGTTCCAAGTGGATTACAGACCTATGTGTGAACATTTGAAAATAAAGTGACTAGCAGATACCATAGGAGAGGATCCTCACGACATTGGGGTAGGATAAAGATACATTAAACAGGACGTAAAGTGTCTAATTGCTAAGGAAAAGATGAATAATCTGGATTTCATGAACGTTAAGAACTTATGCTCAGACTTCCCTGGTGGCGCAGTGGTTAAGAATCTGCCTGCCAATGCAGGGGACAGGCGTGCGAGCCCTGGTCCGGGAAGATCCCACCTGCCGCGAAGCAACTAAGCCCGTGCACCACAACTACTGAGCCTGCGCGCTAGAGCCCGTGAGCCACAGCTACTGAGCCCTCGTGCCACAACTACCGAAGCCCACGCACCTAGAGCTCATGCTCCGCAACAAGAGAAGCCACCACAGTGAGAAGCCCGCGCACCGCAACGAAGAGAGTAGCCCCTGCTCGCCGCCAACTAGAGAAAGCCCACGCACAGCAACAAAGACCCATCACAGCCAAAAAAAAACAAAAACAAAAACAAAAAAGAACTTGTGCTCATCAAACAACACCACTGAGAGAGAGAACAGGCAAGTCACAGAGGGAAACAATATATGCAAAGCACATATCCAACAAAGGATCGTAGCCAGAATAAAGAACTCCTCAAACCAACAAAAAGACGTCACAAATAAAAAACAGGTAAAAGACTTGAACAGGGTTTTCACAAAAGAGGCTATCCAAATGGCCAACAAACTATCCAACTGGCCAATGATAAGGTGCTCAACGTCTTTCATCACCTGGGAATTGCAAATGAAAACTATGAGATACCACCAGCAGGTCTAAAAAAGCAACACTGTCACGTGGTTGGTGAGGGTGCAGAGCTGGAACTCCTTCCACTGTTGGTGAGGTGAAAATTGGTACATCCACTTTGGAAAACTGTCAGGCAGTATCCACTGAAGCTGAACATAGGCATAACCTCTGACCTAGCAGCGCCATCCCAGAAACACAGCCACATGTTCACTGAAAGATGAACAGGGATGTTCACAGCAGCACTATTCACAATAACCAAAAACAGGAAACAACCCCAAAGTCCATTTATAAGCGTCTAGTCATACAATGGACTACTATAACGTAATGAGAATGGGCAATCTGTAAGTACACGCAACATAAATGAACCTTGCACGTGACACTGAGCAAAGACAGCCAGACATATACAGGACATATGTGTGACTCTCCTTTCATGCGGATGGTGGTCACCTGGCTGGAGGGCTTGAGGGGAAGGGCAGTTTGCTGACTGCAAGGGGCCCAAGGTAGGCTTCTGGGATCTTGGTCGTGTTCTGCTTCTTGATCTGTCTGCTGGTTATAAGAGTGTGTTCATTTTGTGAAGTCACTAACCTGTGTATTTATTTATTTACTTATTTATTAATATTATTTTTAAATATTTTCTTATTTATTTATTAGTTATTTGGCTATGCCAAATAAGTACTTAGTTGCGGCACACAGGATCTTCATTGCGGCATGTGGGATCTTTAGTTGCGGCATGCGGGATGTTTAGTTGCAGCATGTGGGATCTTTTTTAGTTGCGGCATGTGGGATCTAGTTCCCTGCCCAGGAAATCAAACCCAGGCCCCCCTGCATTGGGAGCATGGAGTCCTAGCCACTGGACCACCAGGGAAGTCCCTGACCTGTATATTTGTAATTTGCATACTTTTCTACATGTATATTGTACTTCAATAAAAGGTTTACAGGAACAACAAACAACAGGTGGGTTAAATTACAGTGACAGAAATCTGAATGATGGTTACCTCTGCGGGGGGCAGCATGAGTGAAGGCCTGCAGGAGGCTTTTGGGGGTGAGGGGAACGTACCACTTCTTGATCTGGGTGGCTGTTTACATGCATAAGTTCACTTTGTGAAAATAGCTGTTAAGTTAAAATGTGCATATTTTTCTGTATGTATGTTGTATTTCCGTAAAATTAATGCCTTCAAAATGCTTCTGGGGGGCAGAGAAGTTACAAACGTAATGACGTTGGCCCAGAGCACTAAGACTGCTCTCAGCCTAGATTCACTTTGCCCGGAAAACCCACCTTGACTACCTCTAAGATGGGGTCGGGAGCCCAGTGTGCTCTCTGGGCAGCCAGATTAGCCCCACCCTCACACTCATCCACTGCCCCGAAGGCCTGGTCCTGGTCTGGTTTCCCTGACAGACTATGTGCTCCCCCAGGCAGGGCGAATGTCCTGCTTGCCACTGCACGTCCTCCCTGGGAAGTGCCTGGCCTAGAGCAGGGACTCAGTCACGTTTGCTGAATGAACGTCTTATCTGGGTCTTGGAAACAGGGTTGAGACAGAAATTACACTGGGCTCTCCTATGCCCTTCGTCACCCGGATTACGGTGACACGCTTCAAGAAACGTATCAGCGTCACCGCAGGGCACGTTCCTGCTCATTCTCAGCTCATCAGCGTTATTAATGAGATATGGAAACGGATAGGGGGGATGTGATTATTCTTTTCTGAAACAGCGGATGTGTTCGTCAGCCTACCCAAAGTAGACACGGAATGAAACGTGCCTATGTCTGCTGCAGTGAGAGGAAGCCTGAGGTCAGCAGAGGCTGGGAACTAGCTGGTAACAAAGACTGTGAATTATCCAGTTGTGAATTCCCGAGGCTGGCCCTGTGTCAGGCTCACTGGAGGCGCCTGAAACCCCAGTTCCCACCCCAGAATCTGACCTGAGCTCCTGACAAGACATACATCGTTTTCCACTTCTGGACCCACAGTGCCGTGATCAACACAAGGTACCAAATAGAATCCTTCTGAGTGAACAAAAGAGCCAGGAGACACAACCAGAGGATTCCAAGCAGAAGAGTCATATATTAACCCCTGAATACAGGCCACTCTTATCCCTGAATCCATCTTCTCACCTCAGGGCACTAAAATGCCTTGTTACGCTTGTAAGGGAGGAATTTCGTCTGTTGTGTTCACTGCCCTAAGTGTTTGTGGAATGACCCACTTAATGAATGTCTACCCCTCTAGGTGGTCGGCCCCGCAAGGGCGGGGGCCCACACCTGTGTTCACATCTTGGCTCCTGGCTGGGAAGGGCACTCAGCGAAGTCCACAGAAGGGAACTGAAGGACACTTACCGCCAGGAAGCCCAGCTTGCCTCCACACTGGGTCTTGAGCCCCATGGCGGCCGTGAGATGGATCTCAACCAGCGTGCTCGGGGGGATTTTCTCCTCTGCACATTCAGCCAGGTTCACAGCGCACAAAGCCATGTGTACATCTGAACAGGCGGATCCCACAGGAAGCTTGCCTATGGCGGCAGAAACGGACAACGACTGTTGACAGATTCCCTCGACCCAAGCTTTTTCCTGCCTTCTCAAGCACAATCGGAGCAACAGCAGAACCAGAGGAGAAAGTCTATGAGCTCGGTGATCAGACAGTCCTGGATGGGGTGCCAGGCTCTGTGACTTAGTAGCGGTGTGCTCCTTTCTGCCTCACAGGTTGTTGGGGACAAGAGAAAATACAGGTCACGGGCCTGGCCCGCGGCCCCAGCCCTGTGTAATGGGGAGTGGCTGTGACTGCAGGCCGGTGAACAGGACTCAGAGGCGCGAACTGCAACGCTTTCCAAAGCGGCGTCAACAGCATGGCCACGTCCTGCTAACACAATCCTGTGTCTCCAAATGTTGCGAGAAAGGTTATAAAAATTAAAGACAAAAACCCAAGAACGAACCGACGTGAATTTATTTTCATTCAACAAGACCCCACAGTATATAAGCGCACACCCTTCTGAGCGGGGGACGTGACACACAACTGAGCCGTGACAGCGGCTTGTTGGGGCGGAGGTGGAAGGCCAGGAGAGGCTTACTAACCCTCCCGTGAGGGCTGTACAGCTCATCTGCGGTGGCCCTGAACTCGGGGACCAGAGTGCCCTTGCTCAGGCCCCAGGGCCCGTCGAGGCTCTGAGGCTTTCACACTGCTGCTTGCTTTGCTCCTCACCACAGTACAGGGAGGTGCCCAAGGCAAGCAGGCGCCTCACTTTGCTGAGCCTCAGGGGTGGCCCAGCCAGGCCTCCCGACCCCACCCAGCCTCTCTGGTCTTTTATCAGCCCCCAGACTTCATTCTGCACAGGCGTTAGGTGTTGGTCTCCCCCGGGAGGCACCACCGACTGGGCTTTCTCCTTTGCAGGGAAGGAAGGCGGAGGGCAGTGTGGGGACCGTGTCACCTCTTAGTCACCTCTGTCCTCTTGGTGCCTTGCGCAGGGCCAGGCCCACAGAGTGCTCAGTGAATGTCGGCAGAATGAGTGATGTGAACCATCCCAGCTGGAATTCTCCTGAACAGATGCAGCCTCCAGATCAGGGACCTGGGATGGAGCTGGTTCCCTCCCCCCGGGCCCGGGCACACTGATGGGACAGAGAAGCAGGGTAGGTCTGCAAATGGCCCTCTGCTAGAACTCTACGAAGGCCCCAGGTGTTCATACCCCATAGCTGGCCCCAGTGTCTCATCTCCACTCCCCCTGGGGCCTGGGCTGAAGCTCCCTCCCTCAGCCACCAGGGCCTTATATCCTGTTACCATATCCCACTGCTGCTCTCTGCCCTCATCTTATCGATGGCCCAGCAACAACTTCCCTTCTTGAACCCTCTGACTTTGCCCCCCCTACACCAAGCGTCTTGGCCTCTCCTGCCTGACCACCTCTCAGGCAGCCTCCGCCCGACTCCTTGTCCCGGGCCTGCCCCTTCCGTGCAGGTCTCCTTCCACATGCCCTAGAGGGGCCCCCCTTCACCACAAGCCCTCTCATCAGCACCCATGGTTTTCATTCTCACCTGCAGGCCAAAGACCTAGCTCCTTTCCTTGGCCTACAGATCCAGCGTGGCCCCCACCACTGCATCATTTCCCCTCGGTGTCTCACAGGCAAGTGTCCCGAGCGGAACTTCTCACCTCCTCCCTAGAAAACTGCTTTTCCTCTCATTTTCCTTACCTTTGCTGGTGGCAACAGTGTTCACCCAAACGCTCAAGCAAGAAACCAGGGAACCATCTTAGCTAGCTCCTTTCCTTACCCTTCCCATCCAGTGAGTCCCCAAGGCCTGTCAACCCCACTTTCTCCTTTCTCTCTGTCCTGTCCTTTTGGCACCTGCATTAGCTTCCACTGGTCCTCCCTGAAGGCAGCCTCAATCCTCCCTTCAGAGCGAATCTTCTCGACCTCAGAAGCACAGGGCTGATGACGTCATTTCCTCCACCGCACTGGCTCCCGCCCCCCTCCCTTCGCACAGCCGCCTTGGGGCCACTGAAATCCTCTCCTCCAGAGCTACCCACGCGGGGTTCCTGCTTGGGAACATGCATCCCTCTGCCAGGAAGGCACCTCCCCTTCTGCAGAGCTGGTGAACTCCACGCATCCTTTCATGCAAAGCCAAGGCTTTCCAGAAAGCCTTTCCTGAAACCCTCCCCAACAAGGACCCCTTCCCCCGAACTGAAATCCAATTCTTCTGCCACCTCTACCACACTTAACTGTAATTCACTTGCTGACCTGTCTGCTTCTCTATTAGAGCAGTAGCTCGTTGAATGAAATAAATGATCATATTTCACTGAATCTAAGATGCCATCAATTTTAAGTTTCACTATTAAGTACCACCAAGGAAAAAACACTGCCAACTCAACCATGACATTCATTGTGTAGAGGACAAAGCCAAGCGTAGAGATGTTAATGTGAAAAATGTGTGTCTTAAACTGATGAACTGCAGCCTTTACCCGCCGTAGCTGTTCGTCTAACCATCCTAAACGGGTAGTGTGAAGGGGACATCATTCAGCTGGGGCAGAAAACTGGCAAACTGCGCCAGGGTGGAGCGATGGCATGGGGGCACTTCGAGGCAAGACTGGCTGTGGTGGCAGCCCTCACCTGTGATGTGCAGCTGGTGCAGCCTGTGATAGGCCAGGGCTGCATCCCGGGCGCTGGTCTTAGCTTCCTCCTCAAAGCCTGCAGCAGTGGCCAGGGTGGCCCGCCGGTGCTGGAAGACCTTCTTGAGCAGCCAGCGCACCAGGCGCAGCTTCTGCAGGCTGTAGCGGATCACGTTCCAGGAGAGGCTGCATGCCAGGTCCAGGCGGGAGGTGGGCAGTGCCCGGCCCAACACCGACAGGCAGGTTTGCAGGTTTGCAGCGGCAGCTGCAAAATCCCCCTAGCAAGAAGCAAGAGGGTGTAGTGTTCACTGGCCTTGATGTGGCCTTTTTGTTTTACTTTAACAAAAACTCTTACTTTCTCTTCACCCCTCCAGATTATCAGAGTAATACATACTCATTGAAGAAAATCTGGGAAAATCTAGAAAGCTACAAAAAAGTAAAAAGAAATCACCTGTAATCTTATCCCCCAGAAAGAATGACTTCTGACATTTTAATATATTTCCTCCCAGCCTTTTTACTAAATTGGGATGGTACTGTGTTATATCTTCAAGCAAATACTATTCAGAATTTCAGAATTTCAGTATGTAGCTTTCGTACATAAGGTGATGACATGGATCTAGATGATGAACGATGTGATCTTTTAGGTTCTCAGTGTGGTTCCCAGAGACCAGTAGCATCTTGTTAGATGCTACTGGTTTCTGGGAATCTTGTGAGAAATGTGAATTCTTGGTGCCTCACCCTAACCCTCCACCGCCCCCCACCCCGACCTACTGAAATCAGAGCCTCTGGGGTCGGGGCCTCCGGGTGATCCTAATGTCTGCTGACGTTTGAGAACCACAGTTTTAGGCAAATACACAGCTAAACTACTCTAACCAAGGATCTGGACAACTCTCTGCCAACCTGAGAGGGTCTAGCAGGGAGTCTACTGCCCTGTACTGAAGGCCTTTTTCTCTGTTTTTCTCATTACTGGAGGCGACACAGTCTTGAGAAACTGGAGTAAACGCTCTTCTCCCTTCCCACCACGCAGTGGGTATGAATCCTGTACTTTCCTTCCTGCACCATTACAGAAAAGAGGATCCTTACAAGGGGAAAGTGGATGCCAACGCTCTGAGGATGACAGTCTCTGAGGTGGTGCTGCCATCCTTCCAGCCAGGAGAAGCGCCTGTGCTTACAGATTCCAAAGGAGGTGGGCCTTTCTCTGTGTCTCCTGGCTCCTCTTTCCCGTGTTTCCCAGGAAGGTTGCCTGTTTCCAAGGCTCGGGCTTTGGCTCTTGTCTCTTCCAACTCACCAATCCAATTCGCCCTTGAGCGCCCTCCCCTGGCAGACGCACAGCTTCCAACACACCCTGGTCCTGACCCGTCTTGGCCCCCACGGCCTGCCTCCTGGTCGGGAAGCTTCTCACCCTCAGGGCCCTCTCACAGCACTTCCAAGCAACACGGTTAGACGGAGCCCACCACAGCTTCCAGCCTCCCCCATCTCTGAGTCACTGTCACTGCCACTTTCCTTCCATTTCACATCTCAAGTATTTCTTGAATTCATGCCTTTCCTTTCAATTTCCAGCTCCTTGTCACCTCGCACCCAGCCTCTTCTAAGAACACCCTCACTTGATTCCATGCATCTTGTGTCTTCCTCCTCCAACCCACCCTTCATACAGCCACCAGAATGACGTTCGTAAAACACAGCCCTGAACCTGTCTCTAGGATAAACATCTAGGGGTACGTGTCATCCTGCGTTAGGGGTAGCACCAACAACCACACCTATATTCCAGCAGCCGCAGCCCTGGACATGGCTGACAGGTCCACTGACGGACTGGCTGGCCAAATTCTCTCTTGTGGGCTCCGCAGCTGGCAGGTGGGGAGAGCAAGCCCATGGCTACCTGCTGCCAAGCGCTGGACTGGTCCTTGTTCCTCCCGAGACACGGGTGTTTAACTCTTCCTTCCGTGCTGTGAGTTTGCCCCAGAATCCTTCCCATAAACTCCTTTGTTGATTTCAAAAGAGGACTTTCAGCAAATTTTCCTGCTTAAAAACCTTCCTGGTTCTCCAGAGAACTGGGACAAAAACCTCCAATCAGTTACTAGTCAAATACGTCTCCAACTTGGGCCCTAGCTACACTACCAGCCTTAGCCCTCGTCCCCGCCGACATACCCTACACTCCAGACACACCCACCTACTTGCCAGTCCCCCAGAAGCCCACCTGTTCCTGCCATCCTCTCCCCTCGGAAGGGCCTTCCTGCCTTGACCACTCTGCTCACACCCCAGACTCCCAGAGCACTTTACTCTCCCGCCATATTACAGACTAGCGATCAGCTCGTGTCCGCAGAATCACTTCCGCCTAGGTGCCCTCTCTCCCGCTGCCCTGTAACTGTTGGGGGTAGGGTCCCCTCCTCCTCTTGCCCCCGGGGTATTTTTATACGCTGGGGTGTTGGAATAAGTTGCTGAGTTACGGGCCGAGCCTGGGGGAGGAAGGGGAAAGGCAGGCGGCAGGACTCACCCGGGCCAGGTCCAGGTCTGCCTGCTTCCGGTGCCTCCAGAAGGTGACTGAGGAGCGCGAATGCGGCCGGATCACTGGCTCCCCATGGACCAGCAGCTTCACAAAGACGCTCAGGACAATCACACCGTTCACCAGCCACAAGAGGAGCGTTGGCATCATCCAGTCAAACCAGCCCCCAGAACCTAAGGAGGAGCGTCTCAGCTGAGCCCGTGGGGAAGCGCCTCCTGAAGCAGCCCTGGGAGACTGCAGGGCACCTGACTGACCCCTCACTGTGACAGGAAAGAGCCTCCTACCTCATTTTTGGAACAAATGCGATTGCTCCGTTTAGTAACAATGTCGAAGTGCATAGGGGAGGAATAACACATGCACCTTAATCCACACTACAGCAAATTTGGGACAGTTCTACGGCCTAGCTAGGAACCCTGTAGCCCTTGTCACTATGGGGCAGGATGCCACAAAAATTTTTGTTAGCCAAGGCAGAGTTAGGCCTCTGGTTTAATGACTCAGGCAGTAAGAAGACCACATCCTCCTTCAAACAGCCACACCCTCACACCCCCAATTAAGGCAGTGCAGGGTCCTGATTTGTTTTGCTCTTTCTGACTGAACTTGGGTTTGCCCTGTTACTTCCGAAATGCGACTTATGCCAGTCCCTATCAGAAGCAAGCAGGCGGGGGCCCTCTACGAGAGCCCTTCGGGACCTGGCGGACAAGCCGAGGGGCTGCATGCAGGGCCTTCTCCTGCCACGGCAGCCCACCCAGGCCCGGGTGGCACGAGGGGCCTTCCACCTACCTGACTCGAGAGACAGCATGCTGCGGCCAGAGCCTGAGTGTGGACGCTGGTCCGAGTCGTGGGCCCCTCCCCATTGCAGCAGGGCAGTCAGGGGGTTAAAGGAGAGGCACAGGAAGGTGAGGACACACAGCAGGATTCGCGAGCGGTCCACCATGCCCAGTGCGACAGGGGGAGAGTCGGGCTCATCTTTGACCTTCAAAGCAGGGGGCCGCAAGGTTGGCACAAATACTGTGTGGATTTCTATAGCAGTTTACTTTTATATATATCGGAATCAGATCGTGTGATTTAAACTCAAGACCATTAAGTCAGATGGGAATAAAGCACTCGCCCTCTTGCCACCTGGGAGAAGAACATGCTCTAAAGACCAGAGGGACACGAGCTCTGCTTTTACAACAGAGCTCCATCACAAAAGAGAACACTCTGCAGGATTCTGTTTCTGTGTAATTCCACAACAGGCAAGCTAATCTAAAGCGACAGAAGGCAGATCAGAAGTTGTCTCAGGCTGGAGAGACGTGTGTGCACTTCCTGCAAAGTGTAAGTTCACGGGAGATAAAAATGTTCTATATCATTTTGTTCTAAACTAGAAGAGATTTATTCATTTATCATTTTGCTTTGTTTTTTTTATAAATTTATTTATTTTTATTTTATTTATTTTTGGCTGCGTTGGGTCTTCGTTGATGCGTGCGGGCTTTCTCTAGTTGCGGTGAGCGGGGGCTACTCTTCGTTGCGGTGCCCAGGCTTCTCATTGCGGTGGCTTCTCTTGTTGCGGAGCAGGGGCTCTAGGCACGCAAGCTTCAGTAGTTGCGGCACGTGGGCTCAGTAGTTGTGGCTCCCGGGCTCTAGAGCGCAGGCTCAGTAGTTGTGGTGCACGGGCTTAGTTGCTCTGTGGCATGTGGGATATTCCTGGACCAGGGCTTGAACCTGTGTCCGCTGCACTGGCAGGTGGACTCTTAACCACTGCGCCACCAGGGAAGCGCCATTTATTGTTTTTTGTTTTGTTTTGTTTTTTTTGGCTGCACCACACAGCTGATAAGTTCTTAGTTCCCTGACCAGGGATCAAACCCGGGCCCTCAGCAGTGAAAAGAGTGGAGTCCCAATCACTGGACCTCCAGGGAATTCCCTATTGTTATTTTTTAATTGAAGTATAATTGACCTACAACACTATTTTGGTTCGAGGTACACAACAGAGTGACTCGATATTTTCATACATTACATCAGCTCCATGATAAGTCTAGTTACCATCTGTCACCATACAAAAGCACTACGATATTGACTATATTCCCCATGTTGTATATTTCACCCTTGTGACATTTATTTTGTAACTGGAAGTTTGTAGTATCTTTTTTTTTTTAATTTATTTTTAGTTTGTAGTATCTCTTAACCTCCCTCACCTATTTCACTCACCCTCCCAACTCCCTCCCCTCTGGCAATCACCCATTTGTTCTCTGTACCTACCAGTCTTTTGTTTTGTTGTGTTCGTCCATTTGTTTTATTTTTTAGATTCCACATATAAGTGAAATCCTACGTATTTATCTTTGTCTGACTCATTTCACTTAGCATAATACCCTCTAGGATCATACATGGTGTGACAACATCTCATTCTTTTTTACAGCTGAGTAACATTACACTGTATATATATATATACACCACATCTTCTTTATCTACTCATCTATCTGTGGGCACTTAGGTTGCTTCCATATCTTGGGCTATTGTAAATAATGCTGCAATAAACATAAGGGTGAACATTACTTTTTAAATTAGTGTTTTTGTTTTCTTTCAGAAAAATACCCAGAAGTGGAACTGCTGGATTGGATGGTAGTTCTATGGCAAATTTTTTGAGGAACCTTCCCACTGTTTTCCATAGTGGCTGCATCAATTTTCATTTCCACCAATAGTGCATGAGGGTCCCCTTTTCTCCACATCCTCACCAACACCTATCATTCTCTGTCTCTTTTATTACACTTAGCATAATACCCTCTAGGTCCATCCACGTTGTCACAAATGGCAAGATTTCACTCTTCTTATGGCTAATATTTCATTGCATATATACCGCATCTTCTTTATCCATTCATCTATTTCTGGGCACTCAGGTTGCTTCCTTACCTTGGCTATTGTAAATAATGCTGCAACGAACACAGGGGTGCATATATCTTTTTTTTTTTTTTTAATATTTATTTCTTTGGCTGTGCCGGGTCTTAGTTGTGGCATGCAGGATCTTCGTTGCTGCATGTGGGATCTTTTTAGTTGCGGCATGAGAAATCTTAGTTGTGGCATGCAGGATCTAGTCCCCTGACAAGGGATCGAACCCATGCCCCCTACAATGGAAGCTCGGAGTCCTGACCACTGGACCACCAGGGAATTCCTGATGTTGAGCATCTTTTCATGTGCCTGTTCGCCATGTATATGTCTTGCAAAAATGTCTATTCATGTCTTCTGCCCATTTTAAAATTGTTGTCTGTTTGGGGGGTTTTCTGATGTTGAGTTGTATGAGTTCTTTGAAAATTTTGGATACTAACCCCTTATTAGATATATTGTTCGCAAATAACTTCTTCCATTCAGTAGGTAGCCTTTTAGTTTTGTTGGTAGTTTCCTTTGCTGTGCAAAAGGTTTTTCTTTTGTTTTTTTTTTTAGGGTTACATCCGTCTACTCTTCTTTTTTTTTTTCTTAATTTATTTTTATTTTTAGCTGCGTCAGGTCTTGGTTGTGGCACACAGAATCTTTTTGTTGTGGTGCACGGGCTCTCCGTTGTGGCGTGTAGGCTTCTCTCTAGTTGTGGCGTGCAGGTTTTTCTCTCTCTAGTTGTGGGGCGCAGGTTCCAGAGCACTTGGGCTCTGTAGCTGTGGCGTGTGGGTCCCAGAGCACATGGGTTTTATAGTTTGTGGCATGCAGCCTCTCTAGTTGAGATGCGTGGGCTCAGTAGTTGTGGCGCATAGGCTTAGTTGCCCAGTGGCATGTGGGATCTTAGTTCCCCCACCAGGGATCAAACCCGTGTCTCCTGCATTGGAAGGCAGATTCTTTACCACTGGACCACCAGGGAAGTCCCAATGCAAAAGCTTTTTAATTTGATGTAGTCTCATTTGTTTACTTTTGCTTTTGTTCCCCTTGCCTGAGGAGACACAGCCCCCTCAAAATTGCTAAGACCAGATTTCCCTGGTGGCGCAGTGGTTAAGAATCCACCTGCCAATGCAGGGGACACAGGTTCGAGCCCCAGTCCCAGAAGATCCCACATGCTGCAGAGCAATGAAGCCTGTGTGCCGCAACTACCGAACCTGTACCCCAGAGCCTGCAAACCACAACTGATGAGCCCATGTGCCATAACTACTGAAGCCCGTGCGCCTAGAGCCCGTGCTCCGCAACAAGAGAAGCCACAGCACTGAGAAGCCCATGCACCGTGACGAAGAGTAGCCTCCGCTCGCCGCAGCTAGAGAAAGCCCGCGCACGCAACAACGAAGACCCAACGCAGCCAAAAATAAATAAATTAAAATAAATAAATAAATAAATTTTTTTAAATTGCTAAGACCAATAACAAAGAGCATACTGCCTATGTTTTCTTCTGGGAGCCTTATGGTTTCAGGTCTTACATTTAAGTCTTTGATCCATTTTGAGTTTATTTTTGTAGATGGTGTGAGAAAGTAGTCCAGTTGATTCTTCTGCATGTAGCTGTCCCATTTTCCCAGCACCATTTATGGAAGAAGCTGTCATTTCCCCTTTGTATATTCTTGCTCCTTTGTCATAGATTAACTGACCATTTTAGTATGGGTTTGTTTCTAGGCTCTCTATTCTGTTCCATTGATCCATGTGTCTGTTTTTGTGCCAGTACCACATTGTTCTGATTACTGTAGTCTGAAATCAGGGAATGTGATTCCTCCAGCTCTGTTGTTCTTTCTCAAGATTGTTTTGGCTATTTGGGGTCCTTTGTGTTTCCACATAAATTTTAGAATTATTTGTTCTAGTTCTGTGAAAAATGTCTTGGGTATTTTGACAGGGATTGCACTGAATCTGTAGGTTGCCTTGAGGAATATGGTCATTTTAACAGTATTAATTCTTCCAACCCATGAGCATGATATACCTTTCCATCTGTTTGTGTTGTCATCAATTTCTTTCATCAACGTCTTATAGATTTTCCAGTACAGGTCTTTTACCTACTTGGTTAGATTTATTCCTAGGCATCTTATTCTTTTCGATGCAACTGTAAATGGGATTGTTTTCTTCATTTCTCTTTCTGATACTTTGTTGTTAGTGTATAGAAATGTAACATATTTCTGTATATTAATTTTGTATCCTGCAAACGTACTGAATTTATTTATTAGTTCTAATAGCTTTTTGAAGGTGTCTTTAGAATTTCCTATATATAGTATCATGTCATCTGCAAACAGTGACAGTTTTTTTTTTGTTTCTTTGTTTATTTATTTTTGGCTACATTGGGTCCTTGTTGCTGCGTGCGGGCTTTCTCTAGTTGCAGCAAGTGGGGGCTACTCTTTGTTGCAGTGCACAGGTTTCTCATTGCGGTGGCTTCTCTTGTTGCGGAGCATGGGCTCTAGGCGCGCGGGCTTCAGTAGTTGTGGCACACGGGCTTAGCAGTTGTGGCTTGCGGGCTCTGGAGGGCAGGCTCAGTAGTTGTGGCACACAGGCTTGGCTGCTCCGTGGCATGTGGGATCTTCCCGGACCAGGGATCGAACTCGTGTCCCCTGCGTTGTCAGGAGGACTCCCAACCACTATGCCACCAGAGAAGCCCAACAGTGACACTTTTACTTCTTCCTTTCCAATTTGGATTCCTTTTATTTCTTTTTCTTGTCTGATCACTGTGGCTAGGACTTCCAATTCTATGTAGAATAAAAGTGGTGAGAGTGGGCATCCTTGCATTGTTCCTGATCTTGGAAGAAACGCTTTCAGCTTTTTACTCTATATCTTGATTACTGTGAGTTACATAAGCATATACGTTTGTTAAAACTCATCATGCTGCACGATACAGTAAAATAGGTGTATTGTATCACATATAAATTACACCTCAAAGTTGATTAAAGACCATACTTTACTATGAACCTATTTACAGAAGCTTGCTTATTCTTTTTTTTTTTTTTTAGCCACACAACACAGCTAATAGGATCTTAGTGCCCCAACCAGGGATTGAATGTGGGCCCTCAGCAGTGAAAGTGCGGAGTCCTAACCACTGGACTGCCAGGGAATTCCCAGACGCTTGCCTATATCTAAAACCACAACATTGTTTTGTTTTCTCCCCAGTTTTACAGAGGGAGAACTGGAGGCAGAGGCCCTGCCTGCCCGGGGAGCCTAAGGAGGGAGGGAGACTGGAATCAGATCTCCGCTGACTCCCAGGGTGTACATCCCACACAACTCGTTTTCAGTATTTTTAAACCATTTGAAAATTTCTTCTGAGGATTCAGACACCTATCTAATTCAACGTATATGTCATGTGGCCTTTTGTTACCAAGCAGAATCACGTTTATAAAATATTTCAAAAATAGAGCTTTCTTAATAAAATTAAGTACATGATACAATAAATGGTCTGATCAAAAACTTATGCTAGGGGCTTCCCTGGTGGCACAGTGGTTGGGAATCCGCCTGCCAGTGAAGGGGACCCAGGTTCGAGCCCTGGTCCAGGAAGATCCCACATGCCAAGGAGCAACTGGGCCCGTGCACCACAACTACTGAGAGCCTGCGCTCTAGAGCCTGTGCTCCGCAACAGAAGAAGCCACTGTGGTGTGGGGCCCGTGCACCGCGACGAGGAGTGGTCCCCGCTCGCCTCAACTAGAGAAAGGCCTCACGTAGCAATGAAGACCCAACGCAGCCAAAAATAAACAAATAAAATAAATTAAAAAAAAAAAAAAAAAAAAAAA